AAACGCCAAAAAAGTCGACATCAGCTCCAACTTAGCTCCCTAGCCGGTGTAGGCGAGATATCCCACTGTTGTAAGCATAATATGTTGGGAAGAACTGCTGTTTGAATATGGTTCTAGAGCGTGTTCCTCTTGGAGCAGTGAAGTTGATGCAACTAAGAAGTTCTGAGCAGTCCATGAGGCCATTAATTACTTTGTATAAGAAGAGAAGATCCAGAAACTTGTGTCTAATGCGAAGAGGTTGAAGGTTATACTGTATCTCCAGGTCACAAACTGGTGTTTGGGAGTATTGATAACCAAGTTTGAATCCCAACATCTTGATGAAGTGTGTTTGGACTTTCGCAAGCATTTCCAGGTGCCCCACTTGATAAGGTGTCCAAATTGTTGAGCCATATTCAAGTATCGGTCTGATCAGTGTTTTGTAAAGGACAATGAGAGAGTGAGGGTTGGTAAAGTCCTTTGTTGATCTATGAATAAATCCCAGTAATGAATTTGCCCTGTTAATAATGTTGGAAATATGCTCCGCTGGATTTAAGGTTGGTGTAATGATGATCCCAAGGTCCTTTACCTTATTCACCCTCGATAGTTTTGAGTCTTCAATATAGTAGTCAAAACCATGGGTTGTGGTCCTACGACAAAATGACATGACTTGACACTTTGAAATATTAAGAGACATTGCATTATTTTTACACCAGTTAACAATGCCATCAATGGAGTTTTGGAGGTCAACATAGTCATCCATGGATCCGATTCTTGAAAACACCTTGATGTCATCGGCAAACATGAGGAACTTCGTTGATATTAAGGCGGCAATATCATTAATAAATACATTGAAGAGTAGAGGGCCCAAGTGTAAACCTTGGGGGATACCTGATAGTACTGCAAAGGGAGGGTAGAGGGCTCCATCAAATTTTACTACAAGTTGTCTATCGCACAGGTAGCTTTCAAGCCAGTTTAGTAGTTGCCCAGAAACTCCATATCCAGCTAGTTTGGCAATTAAAAGGTGATGATGTACTTTGTCAAAGTCCAATTAAATACAATCCACCTGGTAAGATTTGGTGAATGCCGTGTTGATGTACATCTGGAAGAGTAGAAGATTTGATATTGTTGAACGTCTGTGAAGAAAGCCATGTTGTTCGTCTCTAGTGAATTTTCCCAGGTGAAAGTACAGGTGGTCAAGAACAATACTTTCAAACACCTTAGCTAGTGTGGGCTGAATGACTATAGGCCTGTAGTTTTTCACGTCTCTTTTATCTCCAGATTTGAATATGGGCATGACAAACCCTTGCTTTAAGTTGGAAGGAAATATTCCATTAGCTAGTAGTATGTTGAAGAGGATCGATAGGTGGGGGGCAAGGACGGGAGCACAGTATTTCAGCACTATTGGTGGAATGATGATTCATGAATGCAATCGTCATAGTTTAATTTTTTAAATGTCTACTTGCTTATGACAAACACAACAGGTAAATGGGAGTTTATGGACAATTGGGCACAGTTTTAGGTGTTAAAAATGGCTTTAGAAAATCCCCAAACAGCTTTGAAAATTCAAAATTTTCCCCCTGGCTTTAAGCCCCCCGGTAGTCCCCTCCTTGACAAATTCCTAGAACCGCCACTGTGAACTTGTATAGCCTAACCTAATATAATATGTATCAGGCTGCTTGGTGTACATGTATCATAATATAATTAATAACATTTTTAAATTGCCCAGACACTGAATGAAGCCTAGATTCATGATTAGTTGAAGGGTGCAGGTGTCAGAAAGCCACTTTGTACCCTTTATTTATTAATTCTAATGTAAACTCCTTAACCCTATCAGGACGATTAGGCCTGGTTTATGATCAGCTGATCAATCTCTGTACTTGACAGGTGGGGTTAGGTAGGCTTTCACACTTCACTACTCACTTTCACAACTCAAAACTAGTCTTTAGTTGTCATCAGTGGTGCCAAGGCAAAGGACATTTTGTGAGATGTATTAACAATTGAGCTACAGTACCAAGGAACTAAAAATTACTTTGGCCTATTAAAATAAATTTTATTTGAGTTAGGAAAACCTTTTTCTTTATGAAGAAACCTGTTCAGTTAGGCCTAGGGTACATGTGAAAATATTTCTCATCTTTCTGGTTACCTGTTTTCAAAATGTCTGTTATCGGTTAAAAATTACCAACAAATTTGATGCAAAGGGTAAAACTAGTAAAAATCTAATTTTTGTGAAGCTGGACCTTGCCACGTTAACCATAAAAGGTGCTTGGCAAGTAGGCCTAAATATCTCAATAATACAAAAAATCAATAGCCAACCAATGTCAGCGTTGACAAAACATCTAATGTGGCCACCGTTCAAATTGCGCTTTTGATTTGTAAAACTATTCACACCATATTTATATTTGCCAGGATAATGTGATTAATTTGTCAACCTTTTCTTTGTGATTGTAAGTTAATGTTAGCTTATAGTCCCGGCATTATTGGGAGCATTTTTCATCACAATTGGTACAACAAATTTGTTTTGAGTTGTCTATTTTCCTAAGCTTTAATTATTATTGATAATGAGTACAGTAATCCATTAAAACATTCTTCAACTGTCTTGCAAAGGTAGGTGGTTAACGATATGTTTACAGTTTAAACCCAAGACTAGTGTACCTGTTGCTCGAATTCGAGCAATTGCGAAGCATTACAGGCGACTCAAAGATTATGGAAATACTCACGATCTACACAACAGTTAGATATAATAAAAATCTTTTGTAAATATCTTATCTTTTTTCAAAAAGCTGATCTTGTTTTTTAGTGTTTTTAGTGCAAAAAAAAACATTATTTCTATTTCTTCTACTTGGTTCTGTTCTATGACTTTTTCTATGTTTCCATTGTTTGCAAATCGGTATTTAAATGATTGCTCAAGAAATGTAGCACAGTGTTAATTCAGTTTTATTTTTAGCCTATATCAAACTGTCCAGGATTTCTCACTCTTTTCCATTGTAATAATTACATTAACCCAAGTTTTGTCTACAGATGCAATATGCCAAAGAATATCACCTACGTACAATCTCCAAGAAGTGGTAAAAAAGGCAGAAACCAACCCATACAATAGATATAAGTTAACTCCATAAGAAATAATTTTGAAAGTTACTGTGATATTAGGATTTTCCACTGATTTGGTAATAGAACATTATATTGAAAAACATGACACGATGCAGAAGAAAATCAATTTTAAAATCAGAAAAATCCATTGCAAATACTGTACTTCATTTTGACAAATTCAATAAATCACAATTTAAATATTAACAGCTGTTGCATTAAAAAGTAGTGTAGAATTATGCATATGGTCGTAATGTAAACAAATCTGGAGGCAACTTTAAAGGCTTCTGGGGCAGAGCCCCAAGGAAATAGACCTCGTTCCTCTTTTGATGGCTCATCTACAGACCAAGACCTTTCTTTAGAGACCCCTACCAAGTTTCTATGCCCAGCCGTTCTCTCAAATTAGCTGTGACAAAGACCCCGTTTTCCTCCATAAGAATAACATGGGATGGGAATTCAAAGGCCACTGGGGCAGAGCCCCAAGGGAATTCACCATGTTTCTCTTTTGATGGCTTATCTACAGACCAAGACCTTTCTTTAGACACCTCTACCAAGTTTCTACGCCCAGCCGTTCTCTCAAAATAGCTGTGACAAAGAAAAACAGTTTCAAATTAATATATTGACTAGTGTACCTGTTGCTCGAATTCGAGCAATTGCATTACAGGCGACTCAAAGATTATGGAAATACTCACAATCTACACAACAGTTAGATATAATAAAAATATTTTGTAAATATCTTATCTTTTTTCAAAAAGCTGATCTTGTTTTTTTAGTGTTTTCTACAAATTTTTCCCTCTCATAGTCGCATTAAGTTGTCTATGATAACGATTATAAATTTAAAAAAAAACATTATTTATATTTCTTCTACTTGGTTTTGTTCTATGACTTTTTTTATGTTTCCATTGTTTGCAAATCGGTTATTTCAATGATTGCTCAAGAAATGTAGAACAGTGTTAATTCAGTTTTATTTTTAGCCCATATCACATTGTCCAGGATTTCTCACTCTTTTCCATTCTAATAATTACACCAACCCAAGTTTCGTCTACAGATGCAATATGCCAACGAATATCACCTACGTACAATCTCCAAGAAGTGGTAAAAAGGCAGAAACCAACCCATACAATAGATATAAGTTAAAAAGAAATAATTTTAAGAGTTACTGTGATAATAGGATTTTCCACTGATTTGGTAATAGAACATTATATTGCAAAACATGACACGATGCAAAAGAAAATCCATTTTAAAATCAGAAAAATCCATTGCAAATACTGTACTTCATTTTGACAAATTCAATAAATCACAATTTAAATATTAACAGCTGTTTCATTAAAAAGTAGTGTAGAATCATGCATATGTTCGTAATGTAAACAAATCTGAAGAGGCAACTTTAAAGGCTTCTGGGGCAGAGCTCCAAGGGAATTGACCTCGTTCCTCTTTTGATGGCTCATCTACAGACCAAGACCTTTCTTTAGAGACCCCTACCAAGTTTCTACGCCCAGCCGTTCCCTCAAATTAACTGTGACAAAACCCCCGTTTTCCTCCATAAGAATAACATGGGATGGGAATTTAAAGGCCACTGGGGCAGATCCCCAAGGGAATTCACCATGTTTCTCTTTTGATGGCTCATCTACAGACAAAGACCTTTCTTTAGACACCTCTACCGAGTTTCTACACCCAGCCGTTCTCTCAAAATAGCTGTGACAAAGAAAAACAGTTTCAAATTAATATATAGATTATTTCCTTTGAAATACATCAATTACCATCAAAAAATTACATATACAACAAGCTAAGGTTAACATGCCTCTACCCACATAGAAATCTGTCCCTTCCCATCAATCGATCCAGAAATCTCGCTCAGACCCTGACCTCATAATTTTTGTCTAAGCAAGGTTTTAATTTATAACCACCAAATTATAATTTAATTGTTATTGTTTTAGCTATGACATGGTGCACTTTGGCCATGCCAATTCATTGCGTCAAGCAAAGCAACTAGGGGATTATTTGATTGTTGGAATACATACTGATGAAGAAATCACAAAACATAAAGGACCACCAGTCTTTACACAGGAAGAAAGGTAAGGTTGTGCAAAAAAGTAATATACTTGGACTGGTCGGTGAAAGTATTAGGTAAGAGTCTGCTTATCCTTTGTCCAAAGAAAGCATAAAGTAGCTGAGAAAGTGTGAAAAATAAGCATTGTCAAGTAATTTGTTCCAGATCCTCAATTTGGATATGATATGTTTCATGATCAGTCATGCCACTAGATGGTGAAAGCCTGCGTGACTTCACTTTAAATTATTCACTTTATTATTAGAAAACATTTTTATCTCTATGTCAACAAATTATGAAAACTCTGACACATGACACTATTATCTTGAAGCAAAAATGAATAATACTTAAAACAGTGCTTAACTTAGGCCTAATACCGAATAATTTGTAAAATATGTATAAATGGTTAAATATGCTTGTTTAGAGTGTTTAACTAATAGATTGTTTATTATTGATTCTTCGTCCCATGGACCGATACAATAATTTGTATTTTATTATGCTCAATAATACTAGTTTAAACATCACTACTGACACTACACAGATTTACAAATTTATTTTACTTAGTAAAGTTGGATTACTTATGTGTAGCCAAATTCAACAAGCACATTGCCTGTTTCTTTAAATTTACATTTTTGTACTCAATGTAACCAAGATTTCCATAAATGTTATAAATGAATGATATAGGCCTAGTTTACTTTACTCAATTAGGTACAGGTATACGAATTTCTCCAATGCCAATGTTGTTTGCTACTATTGCTTAAAATAATTAGTGGGTCATGTTGCCTTCGTCAAATTAATATTTTAAACTATTCAAATCAACAATAGTAAACATTGCATGTTAATAACCACTGACATTCTCACCTGGGCGGTAATGGCACTGTTCAAGGCGAACCACTTGTAAACAGGTATTTTATTTCAATGAGTGGAACATTTTTCTACGAATGGAAATTTTTGACATCTAACTCCAGATGATTGATAGTATTCTTAGTTATAAAGATATGTTTGCAGTTTTAGTAAAAAACTGAAAGAAACAAAAATGTAGCTAGAAAACGTAAATTCAGTTATTTACAAAGATATATTTGTTGAAGACTTAAATCTTTATTGAGAGGAATACACAGTCAATTAGAAAAATTGTTTTTTTAACCGGTTTATTATTTACTCTAATTGGAGAGTTGGTTTATTGGTGTGATATACATCCCTACAAATTCTTAATTGTTCTCAAAACAGTGAAGCTTAGTAATATGGTTTTTTATACTTGCTCTATGGTTTTTTTGATGTTATTGGTAAGTTTTATCCCTAACTTTGAGCTGTATTGTACACATGTACAATAGAACATCCCAAACAGGTTCTTGACCGTGATATGATTGTTTCATTAGTACTTCACTAATGAAACAATCATATCAAGTAGTGTGTAATGATTTACTTAAACCCTTATTTATGATATTTTTAAAACACACCGTGTAAATTCTGTAAAACAAGGTGATAACAATATGGATTTTCTGATTTCTAATCAAAGAGGTGTTCAAGTTATTCAATTGGGTGATACTAAAGTTGAAGAGGTATCAATTGTTAATAAATTTGTTTTTGGTGCTTTGAGTTGCACAGTTATTATATTCTAGAAATTGTTAGGAAAATTATTACCAGTTTCCTGCATTGCTTAGCTAACCTTAAGAGAGTGCATAATTATAGGTAGCCTAGTCATAGCATGATTAATTATTAATTCCGCGTTTACCTAGAATCATTGAATAGTATGAGCGGTAAATTAACTGTGAAAATAGACCCTTATTGTGCTGCAGGATCAGAGCCGAAGTCAATTTTTAGAAAAGTTTGGAAATAAACTACCAGTTTTAAAATCCAGAGACAATAAACCAACCTCTATTTTGCCCAGGCAGAAGCGGTTGATCCAAGCGAGGGTTGAGAGAGTCATTTAAGAGCGTTTCTTTACAAAATCAATTTAAACAATTTGATTGGAATACGCTTTAAATTATAAATTAAATTGTATGATTGTTAAATGATTCAGACAACTGTTGTGGAACTTATAGGGCTGAAAACTAGTACTTTTGTCTTATGGTTGGTACTGTACAAACTAAGTTAAACCACAGGTCTGACAAAGTGAATATTGGCAATAATCTTATTAATATTATAAATGTGAAAGTTTGTGTGTTTGTTTGTTTGTTTGTTTGTTTGTTTTGAAGTTCAATCACGCATTAATTACTGGACGGATTGGGCTGAAATTTGGCATGATGATAGCTCACATTCCCAATTAACATGTAGGCATATTCATATCCAAAAATCCTTTCGGGCTCCGCCCCAATGGCTCTAGAGTTTCCCATGTTAACCTTATGAGAACTCATATTTAAATTGAATTAAAGAATTTAGTCAGCGGTTGCAACTAAAAAGGTTGGTTCTATGGTATGCAAAAGCATTAAAAGTTATAAGATTTACCAACAGGGTATAGCACTATTATTTTTTTTTTTCATATATGAAAACAGCTAATTTGAATTAAGCAGCAACAAAAAACTGTTATAGGTAATGAGAACCGTCTGTTTACAGTTTTGTTTATATTTTTAATTTCACGAATAATTTGTGATATTTTGTGAATCTTTAGGCCTAATAATTAACTTTTTTATATTGTTTGGGTGAAGTGGTAGAACATTATAGCTATGGTAGGCCTAGATGTGTAATACTATAGCACACCGTAAATTTAAAGAAGCAAATTTTATCATACTGTGTCCTCCCCCATTGCAAACGCAAGTGTTGAGTATAACTGTACTAAGCATTTTATACTTAGGCCATATGCCAATCCCGTACGAAGGACGGTTACTCTGCTAGTTTCTTATAAATTCTACCTAAGAAGATTATTGTAATTTCATTTTGAAATTTCAAGAAAACTGTAATAAACCTATCATTTTAAAATGAAATAAAAAATAAAAATACTTAGGCCTTTATACAATTTTAGTTAAATAAAAATATGTCATTTCTGAAGGTATTACAGAATGATTTGTTAGTCACAATTTTTCCCAAGTTAATATCTTGTTTTCTAAAAAAAAACAAGAAAAAATGTACCGGTAGGCTACCATTTTTAAAAATCACCTTCCCTGGCCAAATAGGACCGCACTACGCACACTTATCACGGTACTAAAAGTGTCATTGGTGGCATACACAACGGCCATGGGAACTACTCATCTCCAGACTTCCTTCACACCAGAAGAGGTTTAAGAGAGGGTTTACTGTACTTTATTACTAAAGAGTATTCATTTGATTTGAACTGTCAGATTATCAAGTGCCGTCTGTCTAGATACAAGATGATCCGTGGCATCAAGTGGGTGGACGAGGTAGTGGAAGGAGCTCCGTACATTACTACTCTGGAGACACTAGACAAGTACCACTGTGATTTCTGTGTACATGGAGGTAATATTCACTTATGATTGTAACTACTATAATAAATTAAGATTTTCATGACAATGACGCGTACATATTGAATTTTAAGACTCTAAATTAGTCTGTGATTGACAATCTGTTATGACAGAGCACTTCTGTTGAACAGTTTTTCAGAGACGTGGTTTTTGATTGGTGATTGGCAGCGAGAGCTATTGGCTAACGCCGGTAGCGATCGGAAATAAGTCGGTAGAGATATTTACTGAAGGTAGTTAATAATAAACTAAAATAAATCGACTGCAATAAATTACTGTGATATTTGAGGTTTAGTGATTGTTTAATTTGTGTGAGTCGAAAGGAAACCAAGGGGCAAGTGAATGAATAATCCTCCGCTGTTTGTACAAATGAGTGACATCGTACGATGGTACATTGACCCCTGACCTTTCTAATCTTTGCTGTGGTCACACTAAGGCTGATAACCTGGCACACTTATTCGTCCCATTGTTTGACTCCTAATTTAAGCCTATTGTTAAGTTAAAAAATCGTTTAGAATTATGGTGGTAAAATTTTTTTTCTTCTGCTGAGGCTCCTAGAATTACTGCTGCCCAAAAATTTTAGACTATTTTTGTCAGTTAAATACAAGGTTCAATATAGATAAACAAGGCACAATTTAAATTGTATACAGTTGCATTTTATCTTTTACATTTTATGGTATGTTTTTTGGGCATGTAGATGTCTTTTCTCTCCAAAGGGGGTACAAGGATTGATTACAAGTGCCCCTTGGTAAAAATCATCAGCCCATGTCTCTTTGTTGGTTATTTTGGGATATGGCAAAAGAGTTTTCAAAGAAACGTGGTTTAACTCAAGCTCCTACACATTCAAAATTGTAAGCTGCTCAAAAACTTAAACATATTTTAGAAGTCAAGAACTGGTTTATAAAGAGACATTTTAACTAGTCAGGCAGGACCAGTTTGTTTGTTAGTCAAACAATCTTCATGTAAACAAGAAGGTCAAGTGGTCTCTATAACTAGTTCAAGTTCCAATAACAAATTCAAATGTTTAAAGTGGTTTTAACCAACCACTAGAACCACTTTTTATGTAATAAGATAACACTAGAAGTTACAATATAAAAACCATTAAATGAGGCAATATCAATGGGAATAAATTGTAGATGAAAACATACGCGATTACCCTGGATTTTATATATTTACTGAACAGAATATTTTATATTTTTGTATCTTAAAATGGTATGCTTAGAGCTTCCTTTATTGGTGCTCTTGTTAAGATCTTATATTTTTTTGCATTTATATAATAATGGTATTAAGCCAAACATTTTAACTAAAATTGAAATCCTTACAACAATTATTTTTAAATAAATAGAAAAATAAAAATAAATTAACTCTGCACCCTAGTGTTGTAGTGCTGTAATAAGTCAGTGACAATAATTCAATCATAGAGTAAGAAATACAATTATTTATACTTCATTAATCAGATTTAACCCTTTGACTGATAGGTCTATAATTCATATTTTGTAAGACTTTTTTTGTTTGCCTTTTAATTACATTACCTGTTCAATTGTAAGTGTATTGTTTTCACTATTTTATTAATCAGGCTAATTTGGAATAATAAAACAATAATAAATATATAACAAAGAAAAGTCTTGGCGTTTGTGCAGTACGGTATACATAAAAAAAACTGTCATTCATTATAAATTTCCAAGTTTTCTAATAAGTTGTAAAGTTCTGATAGCATTATTTGAAACCAAAATCTCATAAAATCGAAAGACATATAGTTTACAACATAATATTGAATTTAAACTTGATTTAGTTTGATAAGGTCATAATATAACAGTCTTTTTAGGGGGAAAAACCTTTTTGTCAGTAAAGTCATAATTTATTCTCACTGTTGTGGTTCAGCTGAAAAATATCATCTAAATAGTCCGAGACTGCTACCTAGAAACGAAGCGAACAACTAGGTTGTAGCGCCGTCAGGTTCACTATCTGTTGGCAATTGTTGACGTCAGCTTAAATACCAGTTTTTACTCCATCATCTCCAAGCACAGATAGCCGAGAAGGCTAGGGCGTGTGTTTATATTTTTATGCTATAATTTTTAAATTTTTATTTTTGTTAGCTAAGCAATGAAAATGTCATCTGTTTCACCAGCTGGAAATGTGAAATGTTTTATGACAATAAAGTGTTATTATTATTACCCTTATATATAATTCTGTAAGACAAACTTTTTACCAGAAAATTGTGGACGTCTGGTAAGTCGCAGAAAAGTGGGAGGCGTCTTAAATTAAAAGTCTTGACGCCAGGGACTCGGGAACATTGCAGAATTCCCATAAAGTTACTAGAAAACGAGACATAACGTAAAATGTTCTCCATAAGAATAGCATTAGAAGCCATTTACTGCAGATTTTTGTTTACTTCATTTCAGCTGATCGTGACTTATTATTAAACCAGTACACAATGTTAACATTTGGATTACCTATTTGCCAGTCAATTTTGCGGTGGGGCACACGGGAGAGACTAAGGCTAACATATCTTGTAGTGTCAGCGTTCGCCGCTAGAGCTGCTAAGTTGAAAAAATTTGAATTAATTTTTTTTTAATTTTTAGTTATAAAATTAACTTTTTAATTATAAAATATTGTTTTAAAATTATAAAATTAATTTTTAATTTTTAAAATTAAACTGTCATAACATAACCTAACAAACCAGACTTGCTGATAATATAAAAACTGTATAAGATAAAAAGCTAATTAATGATTACTTATAATTTTTAATTAATTAAAAAATTAATTTTAAAGTTTAGTATTATAAAATTAAACTGTCATAACCTAACCTAACCAACCAAACTTGCTGATATGAAAAATTTGTTGACAAAAAGTTAGTGCTGCCAGCGGGATTCGAACCCGGGACCTCCTGAACACCAATCCGACCATGCTACCAACCATGCCACGAACGCCGCTGAAACCACATCGTTTCGTTACGGTAATCGTGTTGCCTCAAGAGAAGACATTAGCCACTAGAGATATGACGTCACTACACCTTTAGCCTTAGTCCCTCCCGTGTGCCCATTCCGTCAATTTACTATATAAAACCAGGGATAAAGTTACGTACATAATTAAAACTTATTAGTTACGTTATAAAATTTGGAAATAAATTATTTTACTGTGAAACTTTTCAAATTTGTGTATTTTTAACGTTTAACATGAAATAACCACATTGACTAAATAATTAACGATTCAGGATCAAATGGAAAAAATGCTTTGTTTTTATTTCAAAACATACGTTCTAGATTTACTCCACATTTTCTTTATTTTTAATTTGAGATTTTTTGTAGTGCCAACGGCTATACTCTTAGAAAATAACCTGGGAATAAAGATGGAATAGGTTCATACAGGAAATAATATATTTGTTAATTAAGTAAGTACTATGACAAGTTCCAATGGAAGGAGAAACAATATTGTTTGGAGATTTTAAACAGGTACTGTCTGTTGCTTGCGATGATTAGGCCTGATTTGATAGAATATGTAACGTCAATCGCACCTTTAAGAGGAATACCACCACATAAACTTAAACTAATTGTATTTTTTTTATGTTGATCAGAAAAAATCTAGGGTTAAGTTTGGTCAATGGGATGCCTTTACACTAATTTTGTTAAACCTTGACAAAAGGAGTATAAGCTTAGAAATATTAACTGGGTAAGGATGCTAATTTAGCGGGTTTGACCAAGAACTAAGCTTACCTCAACACATCTTTATTTGCCTTTTCATATTTGACAAAGACAATTTCCAACATTTCAATCAGGGAAGTTTTTTTTTATCACCATTTAACCTCAAGACCAAAGCTACCTTGATAAACCAGTATTTATTCACAAAAAATGATATGTTTGCTGCCTTTTAAACTGTTTTTTTACACAAAAGATATGGAGTACAGGGATATATTCTGAAACATAGATAATATATTTCTTAGTTTGTTTAACTAGAATAATTTGTTTTATATTATTGAGCTTTTTAGGGACTTATGTCCCTTCAAGCCACTAGTTATTATTATTTTAGCTAAGTGGTTGTTAGTGTATCCGCTTTTGCTACTTTTTGTTAAAATAACCTTCCTCTCTATATCCCTAAGAGATTTTAGTAAACAACGATATATCGTTCCATAGCACTGAAAGGGTTAAGCTGTGAGTAGTTCAAATACTGTAAGTGTACATTCGTATACAGTAATGTGTATGTAAATCTACTTGTAATTTACTCAAATTACTTTTTTATTTCGATTGACATCCAAACTAGTCAAAATTGCACTGGTTTATAGTGTTCAAGACTTTACCCACTGTTAATACTGAGGGTTATTTATTTAGGGTGGAAATAATAAAAACTCAGTACATAAAATCTCTAAAAATATAGATTTAACTCGGCAGTTATATTCTGACTGTTTGTTACTTATTTTCCAATAAAATATGACGGGGTAAAGTGTAGGCGTGTCGAGTCATGACTATTGATCAACGTAGACACATTTGTGTTGATTGCTCTATTGTGTGCTATCACTGAATTGATACCTTACACTTGTAAAATTATTTAGCTTGATTGCATGAATTCACCTCATTTTAGATTCTACACGCACAAAAATTTATAATAGTTTTTACACATTGAAAAACTTTTTCCCCATTTAGTTTGTAACAGGTGTTGAATTTTTTTTCTGAATAGTTGGTTAAAGAAAATGTTGCATTTGTAATTTTAAAATGTATTATCCAAATTGTGAAAAATCAAAGAATTAATATACAAGTCAAAATATTCAAGCATTATGGATATAACATAAATACCCCCGCCACAGCAAACCTGCAGACTAAGCGAATTTCCATTTGCCTGATTGGATTTACTGTACTCTCAAATATCTCCTTAAAAATATCACATTTATTTCTTATTTAATTAGCATTGGTTTGACGAGTACTTAGGTTTGCTGCAACAGGGAGGGTAAAAAGTGTTTTTTTGTGTGTGAAATATTAATAGATTAGTATGTAATAAATACATTTTGCAAATTTGATCAAAATATGTTCAAAAACAAGCAAACTACAACAGTTTATTTATTCTCCATAAGAATTACATGCTTACCAAAGCAACTGGACTTTCCCTTTCCCCAACCCCCGTGTTGTTTGTGACCAAGAGCGCTGACCCTTAAGGCAACCCTCACTAAACATGCAAAAAACTTGTATCTGAGATACTTCCGTTCATCCAAAAATCTAACTAGATTTAACCTCCAAAATTACTAACGAGTATGTTATCTATTTGTCAGCATAAATCTAACTGAGTAGAAGTTATTTCCAATAATTTTTAAAAACTAACGAATATGATAGAAGTTAGCCGAAAAAACTAACGAATATCACTAATGCTTAGAATTTATATTCGTTATTCCCAAGTATGGATAATTGATGATTGAAAAACTATGAATACCAAAAATCAGTACATTATATGGTCTGTGTTAGATTGCAGCAATAACTTATTTACTGAACTAGACATCTCATCTAAATGGAACAGCTTAGCCAGTTTTGTTAAAGTGAACTGTAAATAAACCTCTCATGTGTCATGTAATTTGTGCACATAATGAGCTGAATAGCTATGTTGCAATTTCACTGTAATAAAGGCAGGCCTTGTGATTAAAGTTATGTTTAAATCTCTTTTTGGTTTTCATACTTTGATCGTTGATGGACAGAAAAAAAACTGTTGTTTAATATCTATAAGTTGTCTTTTAGTTTGGTATGATTAAAAACTCAGTGTAAGAAAGGAAACAGTATTTTACAGTAGTATATTCTGTCAGTGGCTGAATTGAACTTAATCGTTCTATTTTTACTTAAAACTTGTACTTAACAACTTATATTTGAGAATGGTATGTCTTTTCACATTAGAGCATCTTATGTATAACCAAAGAAAACAATCACCCTTTTTTAAAGAACTATTTCTATTAATGTAAACCCTATTTTCAGATGATATTACAACAACAGCCGATGGAGTGGATTGTTATCATCTAGTTAAAGCGGCTGGAAGATACAAGTAAGTTGCTTATAAATAGTATATTTCATCGCCAAAGAGTCTCTTTGACCCCAAGGTCAAGTTTCACCTTGGAAAATGAGTGATGGTTGAAAAACACTTTTTTCCCATTTGATGAACTATATTTTTTGTCAAATGTGACATTGGTTTAACAAACTTAGAAAACAAAAATACTTTTCATTCAAAGATAACCTTTCAAAGTGACCTCCAACTTGTTTTTAATTTTGCTAATGCAAACGAGCAGTTGTTTGGTAAATCGTTTAGTCCATTACGATTGTGTCATTCAGAATGCATTTTTTTAAATTTTTAAGTTTTTTTTCTGGTTTAAAGGTCTGAAAGGTTATTTTTATTTGCTGTTTTAAGTCATGTGTATAAGTTTAAGAAGTTTAAGTTTTAAGTCTTTTAGCACAATCGACAACGTTGAGCACGATTGACAGAGGTCAGTAGCGATCAAAAGATGTCGGGAACGATCGTTTAGATGGCAGGAACGGTTCTTTAGACATCAGTAGTGATCGTAAGATCTATGTTCTCGTAATTATTCACCCTTGCACAGGGGGTACATAAGGTCAAAAGTTGTCAAAAAGTATTTATTCATATTGATCAAATTGCGAATATCTATACTCATAAATTTGCTCATTCTTTCTGTGCAATGTCCAGAGAAGTGAAGAGAACCGCAGGAGTGTCAACAACGGACGTTGTTGGTCGGATGTTGCTGATGACGAGGCAGCATTTCCGCAGGGGCGCCCAGGAGTATGAGGTGGGCCGTGAACCGTCGTCTGCGCTGGGGCTGGATGCGACTGCTCGCTCTCCGTGGACTGGCTGTTCACAGTTCCTCCCCACCACACAGAAGATCATCCAGTTCAGCGAGGGAAAGGAACCGAAGGTATACCTAACCACCTGTACCCTACCCCCTCCTGTCCAAGTCAAGGTATGCTTTTTATGCTTTTAATTAGTGATGTTGTTATTTAATTAGTGATGTTCTTGGTATTTAATTATTTTTTGTCTAAGACGCCTTGTATGTATTAGTGATACAAGATGTCTTCAGCTTCCGGATATCCCTGATCTCCCAGAAAAGTCCCCACTTTTTAATTTGGGCGTTACATAACCTTAACATGTGTTTTAGTTACATTATTGCCTTCTCATCACTTAAAAAGCTGAAAAACATCTGATGCAACCTTCCCCACCTTTATTTTGGTTAAGAGAAGTTCAACTGTATCTCCAATTTTTTAACTTATCGTATGTTCAAATATTTTACCAACAAGGTTATATATTGTCCGAACAACAAAATATTCATATGTTATGTTACGCAAAATATGTTATGTTGATAAGGGTATACTTATTTTGTAGGGTTTGAACATGATTAGTGAGATTAGAGGTAGCTTGGAGTTGGGCTGTTAGTTAACTTGTTAATTTGTGGGGTTAAGTTGCACTCACTGTATAAGTTCTTGGGTTCATACACACTGACACCATTGTGCTCTACAGCCAGGAGACAAGATAGTGTATGTTGCCGGAGCCTTTGATCTGTTCCATGTTGGCCATCTGGACTTCCTCCAACAGGTAATTACAATAAACACTCTGGTGTAATCTGTGATAGTCAAGCTGTGTTTATTTTTAAAACTAACTTACATCGCACTTTCTTGGTTCTTTGATGTACAACTCATGTTTAGCTCTTCAAATATCCTACGCCAAAATGTTCAATTAGTCCCACCTAGCTATTTAGTTATTTAAAAGTATTTTGCAAAATTTTTACATATTTTGTTTGTGGAAATGTTTCTTCTATTTGACTTTTGAGTGATGGTAAATGTTTGCAATAACCAAACAACACAAACCCAACATTTTCAACAGTAAACTTATTTCAACATTTGTTTCAAAGTATTTAATAACTAAAAGAACACAATCTTATTTCACATACAAGTCTACATCTTAGGTCTGCATACAGCCTTTGAAAATATATAATTTTACCAACATAGTTGTTTCATTCTCCTCTAGAAAGTCCAGTGGTTGAGTCATTAATAAATAGCTTTAAAAAAAATCATTAACACTGAAAAAGCTGTTATTTTTAAAAATCAATAATAGTATTTAATCTCACTTTACCTGGATTAACATTTTCTTTGCCCAATTAACAGATTCATAGGTCTTTTATTCGGCTATTAAAAACGTTATTCAAAATCACCCTTAGTACACATTTTATTCTGTGCAACATGATTGCAGGCAGCCGCGCAGGGTGACTTCCTGATTGTTGGACTGCACACGGACCCTGTGGTAAACAGGTACAAGGGCAGCAACTTCCCCATCATGAACCTACATGAGAGAGTGCTCAGTGTGTTGGCCTGCAAGGTAAAAAGTTGAGTCGATTACAGAGAATAAATTACTGAACACACTCAGATGAAGCGCGTTGGACGATGAGTCATAAGTTGATAATTTCAGACTGGCTTCCTGCACTCCTGAATCCTGTAGTTGTCACTGGCCTGACCTTATATTTTCAATATGTATTTTTTTTCATTTGCAATAGTAGTCTTTGGTGACGAGCAGCAACAGATTTTGTTTTAAAAAATCATTCAACAATCCAAACCTCATTAAGTATTTAAAGAAGATCATCTTAAGTATATGTTGGTGAATTAGTGGCTCAATCAGTAGAAGGACAAACCTTAAAGTCACAACAAAAATGTCATACCCGATTGCCCAAAAATATCTAAAAAAATATCCTGGTGCTTGCCTCTAAATTTTATCAGTAAAGTTCACCCTTGTACTGTATCTGCTCACCCCTTTGCTGGATATGTTCCACTCAGGGACCCAAATTTTAATTTACAATTAATAGGGGAATTTATTATAGGTCTATATTGAAGAATAATTTAATAAACAAGTTGTTGGTTTACACAAATTGTAAATGAAAGAGGAAGCTTTTATTTAAAATGTGACCAGTGAAACTAATTTCAGGAATCACAGTAACTTCATAATGAGCCTTTTTTTATAGAGTTTTATGCTTGTTATAAGTGTTATCTCAGAAATAAAACCAAAACTTAACTTGTTGTTGGAAGTATTCCATAGTTATTTCTTCTGTGTTACAAAAATAGATTCTAGATTAGATCTAACTTCATTTATGTACACTGTAAATATTATTTGACTTTCTAGAAACAACTGAATGGTTAGAAGTTATTTGTATTTTTACCCTTAAAAAGTCTATGAAAATATTTCAAGATAAAATATTCAGAATAAAAGCTCTATATGGTTAGGATAAAATTGTGAACGTTAAAGTTGAAATTTGCTCATGTAGTTATACTATGGGAAATGATTACTTGATGAGGTATTTTGCAATTTGTTACCTATTCGTACGGTTTCTAAGGGTGTATGTACGGTACATTAGTTTCTATAAAATTTAAATTTTGTGTTTGTGTCGTGCAAAATGAAAGAAAACTTAGTAAAAATGCACAAGTAAAATACTTAGTAACTCCTTATGCTGAAAAGAGTTTAAAATCATTTTAACTTTAACACGTTCACTACCTACCACAATAGTACTAAATGTTTCATTCATATGGACCAGCAACGAACATATGCGACGGCCGGTTTCTATCCACAGACTGCATATATGCGTCAGTTGGTCACATTAGACTGACGTCGCATTTTCGCGTCGGTGTCCAATGTTATTAAAAAGCTTATATCTTCTTAATGGTCTATTTGAAGGCCTTGAATTGTCTGCGGTGGTCTACAGGGATGTCTTTTGCATATGTGCGTCACTTGGTTTGTGGATATGATGAAACCAAGTGACAACCGGTCTATGTGTAATATTAAAATGTAGGCCTATACCTCGGGCCGTGGCAATGACCCCAGCCTTACAAATATGTGGCAAATCAGTAGCAAAGGTGTTATAAAAGTTGAAATGCTTGTTCCAGTATGTTTCGGAAGTGGTGATCGGTGCACCCTACACTGTGACTGAGGAGCTGATGAACCATTTCCACGTGGACCTTGTGTGCCACGGGAAGACTCCCATCATGCCTGATGAGGACGGTGTGGACCCGTACAAGGTGCCCAAGGACAAGGGACGCTTCATGGCTCTGGACTCTCGTAATCTCATGACAACCGAGAAAATTGTGGACAGAATCATCCGTCACAGGTGAGACGTTAGTGGTAATCACCAATATGGTCGCATTGACTATTAATTGAAAGAATTAGACATTCCACCTCTGTGTTAAAGTTGTTGCCTGTTTTCAATCATAATTGAAATATTAGAATTGAGCCACCATTGCGCTGATGTAAGTTACTGATTTCTGTAGAATATATAGACCTAGTAAAACTTATAAGGAAGATAAATTAAAATACGTCTAATAACACTTAATCTATTTACACTTATACTGTTAACTCACAAGACAGTAAATATACAGGGTGGAACGAAGTTAGTGTTAAAAATTTTTATGTGTTAAACTGCTAAATATTGGTGACAAAATGGCACCAATTTAAGTTTCCATACCCTCACAGATAGGGAATAACAGACAATTTAAGATTTTTTCAAAATATTTGTATTTGCTTACATAAAATGGCCATAAGTGCACTAAAAATTGTTTTTATTCCAAATCCATTGTCATTTTTAGAATCCTCGTTAAATTTTCAATATTATTAGTACAAATTCATTGGGATGAAACATCTGCATAAGCCCTTATTTGGCAATGAAAGTTTGAATTTGTGATTTTTTCGAAAAAAGTAATAACTTTTTCCAAAGTTTTTTATAATACACTGGACTGTATAGAGTGTCGAGTATTACTAAAAACTTCTGTAGTTAATAACGTTTAAAATGATGTATAATCATCTACTGTTCGTTTGATTTGTCGTTCTCAAATTTAATAGTTTCTCTTGAAAAACACGGAATGGCCAAAATCGCCTCCCTTTAAAATAACATGTATTTGCTTAAATAAAATGGTAAAAGCTGCTATAGCAATTATATTTGAATAGAGTTTACTGTAATTTTTAGAATCCTTGTGAGATTTATTGTAAGAATATTAAAGATCTATTAGGATTAACATCCATATGAATGTATGTTTTGTGAAAACATGTTAAACTAGTTTTATTTTTATTTTTTGAATACATTGAATATTGTTTAGAGTTACACATGGTACATTTAACTTAAGATTTTTTTCTAAGCATAAGCAAATACTTCCAATGGAGTAACCTCTAAAATTATGTAGATACTACACTTTACAATGTTGTCAATATGTTCACCGAAAACCCAAAATTAACCTAGAAGTAAAGTATACCAATTAATTGATTGTAGTCCTTAGACACATGCTAATGGAAATAATTCAGCCAAGTGATATATGTTTTTACTAAAATAACTGTTAAAACCTCAGAAATACATAGTCTAACTTATTTACACAACAACTAAAAGTTAATACTAAAACACTCAATATTCTAAACTTAAATAACTTTTCCTTATTTCCTTCACGTTTTCATAGTTGCCTTCTATTTGATGCCAACTACTTGAGTTTTTTTTTTCAAAATCTCCTTTATTTTTCCTGATATACAGCCAAGTTTTTTTGCACGTGGCACCAACAGTAACATTAAAATACAACGGTCCTCTGACTAGCACATCTGCATTCATTATCCAGTTGTATATTTCCTTATTATCTTCCACTAAATATGAGGAGACCTCTCCACATAGCCACACAAAACAAGTCCAGTGGACTTAAGGTCTGGTGACCTGGCATGCCAGTAAACCACACTATATGACCCATCTTTATCATTGTTATCACTTAAGTTGTGTATTTTGCATTAAGTCAATCACGCACATCGGTTGAATGTACCATAGAACTAACACCGTAAACGATATTTAAGTTATCCCAATAAATAAGATAAAAAAAACCCTAAATGAAGATACATCACAAAACATAGGTTCAGTAAGTGTTAATCATAACAAATCCTCAATATTCTTATCAGGAATTTTACAATTATTCTGAAAATTGCACTAATACCCATTTAAACATGATTTTTAAAGCAGCTGCTGCCATGTCACTTAAGCCAATACATGTTTTTTACAGGAAATTAAACATTAGCCGTTCCGTGTTTTTCAAGAGAAACTCTTAAATTTGAGAACGACAAATCAAACGAACAGTAGATGATTATACATCATTTTAAAGGTTATTAACTACAGAAGTTTTTAGTAATATTTGACACTCTCTACAGACCAATGTAGTATAGAAAAGCTTTGAAAAAAAGTTATTACTTTTTTCTAAAAAATCACAAATTCAATCTTCCATTGCCAAATAAGGGCTTATGCAGATGTTTCATCTCAATGAATTTGTACTAATAATATTGAAAATTTAACGAGGATTCTAAAAATGACAATGGATTTGGAATAAAAACAATTTTTAGTGCACTTGTGGCCATTTTATGTAAGCAAATACAAATATTTTGAAAAAATCTTAAATTGTCTGTTATTCCTTTGGTCGTGGTTGTTCGTGTACATAGAATAAAATTACGACCAAATAAGTAATAGAAAAGTATTTTAATAAGAGTTAAATTGTGTGTACATTCCTGTAGAAAAACAAAGATCAGACTAACTTAATGCGTTGCTATGACAACGTCATCAGCTGACGCTACACCAGCCCCCCACGGAGAAAAGGAATCTATACATCATTTTGAAAAGTAACCCGTGGTCGGATTTGTCTTCCAGAACGAGTTGTATAAGAATTCGTAGATGGAGTTTGACAAGATGGTGGTAGTTTTGAGGATTCCTCTGCATGTCCAGTCGGCACCAAACGTTTCGTGGGCTCAGGAATAGGACTTTCATCTGCAATAATATAGGCTGGCTTGACCCTGTCCAAAGATACCTTAGTTTCTTGGCCTCTTACAATGATGGTAATTGTCTTTTCGTCACGGCATATGACCTTGTAAGGACCAGAATATGGAGCCTGTAAAGATTTTCTTAAGCTGTCTTGTCGGAGGAATACAAAGTCACAAGTATTGAGGTTCTTGAACACAAACGACCCTGGTTTAATGTGGCGTGATGCGGGTGTAGGTCTTAGTCGATTCATATGCTTACGCAGCCCTGATACCAATTCTTGTGGCTCGTTGCTCTCGTGGGAAGGTATTACGAAAAACTCTCCCGGAAGACGCAGTGGTTCTCCGTACACCAGTTCAGCTGATGAAGCAGTGATGTCCTCCTTGAAGGCAGATCTTATTCCGAGAAGGACAAACGGCAGTACTTCGGTCCAGTCTGATTTGCTGTGAGCCATTATAGCAGCTTTCAACTGGCGGTGGAGTCTTTCAATCATACCGTTGGCTTGTGGATGCCAGCTGGTAGTGAACTGGAGCTTTATGCCCAACTGTCGTGCTAGGTCTTTAAACAAAGTCGATGTGAACTGGGATCCGCGATCACATGTCAACTTTTGTGGGCATCCAAATCGAGCTATCCAAGTAGAGACAAACGCTCCAGTAACAGATTCGGCAGTTATTTGATCAATAGGACAAATTTCAGGCCAACGAGTAAATCTATCTATGATAGTTAGACAGTACCTAGAAGATTTTGATAAGGGAAGTGGGCCAATTAGGTCAATGTGGACATGAGAAAAACGTTCTGTAGGTGTATGAAAATCACCAAGGGGAGTAGAAACATGTCTAGTTATCTTAGATCTTTGGCATGAGAGGCAAGATTGAGTCCATTTGTGGCAATCCTTACGAATGGAAGGCCAGACAAAACGATCGCAGATAAGTTTTGTTGTGGCACGTATTCCAGGATGACTCAGCTTGTGGAACTGGTCGAAAACTCTACGTCGCAGTTCTGATGGCACAAAGGGTCTAGGAGTTCCTGTTGAGGTGTCACAGATAAGGCTCAAATGGGTTCCAGGAATCGGAACTTTCTCCAATCTAAGAGATGTAGTACTTTCTGAAATGAGATTTTGAAGTTCTTCGTCTGACTCTTGTGACTTGGCTAAGGATTCATGATCTAAAACAGTTGAAATGGCTTCAACACGTGACAAAGCATCAGCAACTATATTTTGTGAACCACTGATGTGCTTTATGTCTGTTGAAAGCTCAGAGATAAATGAAAGTTGGCGTAACTGAGCTGGAGGCAACTTGTCACGGCGCTGTTGAAAGGCATAAATAAGTGGTTTATGATCTGTGAATATAGTGAAAGAAGTTGTTTCCAAGAGATGACGGAAATGCTGCACAGCTTCATAAATAGCGAGGAGTTCTCTGTAGTATGCAGGCCAGATGCACTGTTTGGATGATAGTTTCTTGGAGAAAAAACCTAGTGGTTGCCAAGAGTCATCGACAAACTGTTGGAGGCAAGCACCTACACTTACTCCAGAGGCGTCTGTAAAGAGACCAAGAGGAGCATCAGGTTTAGGATGAAACAATAGTGTTGCTGATGATAAGCTAGCCTTGCATGCTTGGAAAGCTTCTTCTGTCTCTGGAGTCCAGGGCACAGGGAGGGAACCTTTTGAATCAGCGTCACTAAGTAGGGAGTGCAGAGGTGCTTGAAATTCAGCGGCCTTTGGCAGAAACCTACGATAAAAGTTCATAATTCCCAAGAATCTGCGAAGACCACGCATTGTCTGAGGTAACTGGTAGTCTTGTAGAGCAGTGACTCTCTCCTGAGGTGGACGTGTCCCAGCAGATGAGACTAAGTAACCTAAAAATTTAACTTCTGGTACACCAATTACACATTTAGATGGATTTACAACTACTCCATAGTCAGAAAGTCGTTCAAACAACATTCTTAGGTGTTCTTTATGTATTTCTTCAGACTGGGAAAATACTAAAATGTCGTCAATATACGCATAACAAAAATCAAGGCCGTGAATAACTTCATCTATGAATCTTTGAAATGTTTGACCCGCGTTGCGTAAGCCAAAAGTCATGAATGGAAATTCAAACAAACCAAATGGAGTGGTGATTGCTGTTTTTTGGATGTCATCTTCGTGGACGGGAATTTGGTGGTAAGCCTTGGTCAAATCAATGGCAGAGAAATGCGTACAGCCTGCTAAATTGAACGAGAAATCCTGAATATGTGGTACAGGGTATCTGTCAGGAACAGTACGAGCATTTAAAGCGCGGTAATCACCGCAAGGACGCCATCCATTTTCACCTTTAGGCACCATGTGCAAAGGTGAGGACCAG